CCATCTAGCAGAGAAAGAGTAATTCTGGGCGAAAGAAACAGCGTTTTGAATTTAGCTCATAGGCGTCATTTGGCTTGAGGATCTTTCACATGCAATAAAATCTACTAACATGGGACAGCCGGCTTTACTTCCCCTCCGAAGGAAGGCGTACGTAGGATATTTTCGCCCTTTCGCTTTCGGCTTCTACCGGGTTTGAACCCGCCAACTTGGGTATACCAGTCCGATACGCTAACTGTTACAATCGCCGCAAAGTTATTTGGAAAGTTAATGGGACCGATTTAAGTTTCCATTGTAAGTTTGCGAGAAACTTGTTTCAATGGACCTAAGATACCACAACTTGATAAGTGATGTCGGGAGAAAATGCGCATGCGTATGCTACAAACTCTCTCCAGACTGGATACATTTGTCATTCTGGCAGTTCTCTCTGGGAATAGCATAGATTGTATTACATACGCAATACCTTCTTTCTGTGATAACTTTTGAGTTGTTCCTCTGTAAATATTGGTAACTGACATTTTCACGTTTTACCAAGAAAAGTAAAACTTCAATTTTTTACCCAAGATGACTAGCCATAATGTAGGAGCACATCACAACGTGATTTGTTGCATGTTCTTGAAATCGCCTGGAACAGACCTAGCGTTCTTCTGAAGGGAGTCAAATCGATTTCCTCCAAATTGATAGATATTTACAATACGTCGCATTTGTTTTTCTTGCTGTAATCTGACAAGCAGAATACTCCTGTCTTGTCTTTGGCGCACCGAACGCCTATGGCGCTGGCGACTTGTCTGACATCCACGAAACTTCTACATAACATACATAGTCTACGTTCGATTGACGTTGAGGAATACTTCGACGTGATTTTGGCATTTCAAATCCGGAGACAAGTAGGGGGCATTGCATTTCAAGTCCTCACTTCCGTGATTTCTAAATTGTATTTCCCTTGTCTTTGGCGCGCCCTTGTAGTAACTGTAGGTAGATCTAATACTAATTTGTTCTGAATCAATACACAATTTTAGCACCTCTGACTGTTGTGTTTAAATCACGACGTAATGGAAAATGTTTGCGATTGTTAGTAGCAAAACATAATTATCAATTTTTCATTTTCTATCGTTTCGCTGCAAAATGGAATAACAATTTTATTTCAAACTGATTTGTTTGAATCGTAAGCTACACCGAATTTGGGATCCTCAACTAAAAAATTGAATGCAATAAATCTCAATTAGGGGGCCGTGCGTTTCATAAAGCTCTCTCCAAAATTACTCGCGCACAGCAAAGAATGTGGGTGGTGTTTTTTGTCGTGTTATTCGTTACCACGCCATATGCTTTCTCGTGTGTTGACGGTAGCGTGTTCAAACATGTTCGCTCTTGATTGTGCACGTTCAATAGAAAAAAGGATGTGGAGGCGTGCGCGTTGTATTACTACATTGACAAGTAAACGTCAATTACTCTTTCGTGCATGCGAATAAGTTTAGAAGGACTCGCAATACTCTTCGTTTCTCTTCAAAATTTGGAGATTGTAGACTTGATTCTGGACATTTTGAATATGAAATCGAATAGGCTGCACCCAGTAAATGGCCGAATCTCCTATAGACTGCCTCGTCTAGGTCTTCAGTCTAACTGATATTCCTGTTTAATTACTTTGTATCGTAATATTTAACTCTTCAATTTCCTTCTATAACGGTGTTTTATTTCGGTTTCTCTTGCTCCGTGTCATTTTATCCATGTTTGTGCTCCTAATGCTTGAATAATACTTTAATAAAAATTGGTTAATCTTAATTGGTGGCAATTAAATGTTTACAATTATTTTGAAAAGTGCATTTACTTACGAAACCGTCAAGGGTTGGCGATCCAGGCTATGTAGCATCAACTCCAGAAAATTTGTAGCATCTGCATTAATTCCATTTCTAAAAGATTGAAAATATATTGATTTTTTAAAATGTGAACGGTTGAGGTGGTTGAACGGTGAACGGAACAGGACTTGAAGCGGAAGTTAATGGTTTGAACTTGGAAGTGGAGATTATTGAATTTTGGGTCGCTGTTTTGGGACAATTATCAACCGCGAGTACAGCTTTGAAGTTGGTGGAGAGCAGAGCCATTTTAGGGGTATGAAAGCGCCAGCATCATTGATGTTGAAAAAGTTCTTGCAATATTCAGGAAATTCCCATCACGCAGCGCAATAGGGCCATCGATATGGCAGGTGAGGCAACTTAATGGGTACACATTGGAGAAGAAAGCTGGATGCCGAGATATTCTAGGGAAAGCTAATGCGAAATTATCAGTTAGAAAATAAATCGAAAAATTCTTCAAAGAGCGCTCTGCGGCATGTACAGGCATTTACGCATATAAATAGTACAATGTGTTAATAAGAGATTACCAAACAATCCAAAAATATAACCGGATTTTACGGATTTCCTCGTAGATTTGACAGTTCAGTTTTATGCATGAAGTTCTTCAAATATTGATTCCAAAATTAAAATTATGAACACACATTAATACTTGAATTATTTAAGAGGGCTTTTGATGTGCATATGACTTTGAAGAATGGGGAGTTAATCCTTCATTGCAGTAGTAACGCACATTAATTCTACATATGACGAACTGTTAATGTTTATACTTCGTAAGTATCAAAGAAGATAATCAAACGTAGGACTAATAAACTAATATAAATTAACAAAATTATATTATTGAATAAAAAGAGTTCGATTTTTTTTCATTCAGTAAGGTACGCAGATTGAGTTCGTTAATGAGAATTTTCCTTTTATTTGTTAGTTTGTTTCTTACCTACCGGGTACGAAATCCGTGATGAGACCAAATCTGCGAAGGCGTTATAGCATATGCCAAACCAGAATTACCAGAATATATGACCATACGCTGGCCGATGCCTGCAGAGCTGCTCAGTGATTCCCAACTGGGTTAGTATCGACCCTCGAGGGGGGGGGGTGACATTTTAAACGGTGGTCAATAATGGTCGAGGAATAGGTAGGTCGAATTCCGAATATGCACAGGCGACTGATCAGAATAATCAAGATCCTATTGATTAGAAAAAATCTATATAATTTGAGTTGATAATTGATTTTTTTTGTATAACGCTTCAAAACTTCTAATACTTATTTAAATTTGGAAATATTGAAGATTGTATTTATACAAAAAATGGCGTAAATTTCATACACCTCTTTTTTTAAAATTGTCTATATTCTTTGATTATTCGGTATAAAATCATGTAGGCGCAATTTGTTGTAATTGTATTGTATGCTGTATATTATAAAACAAGTGAGGGGGGGTCGATGAAGTTCTTCGTTTAAAACGGGTCAATGTAAGACAAAAGGTTGGGAATCCCTTCTCTGGCCGCTGAAGCCACTTGCTCCTGTCGTCGCAGGAAAGAACCGCCATCGCGTTTTCAGTGCGCACCTGAGGAGGAAGATGGCGGTTCGGACGTCAGCGGCGCTGGGGAAGCACAGCGGCTTACCTCGTAATAGAATCTACGCGATTATGCACTAGCGAACGTGTCATTGACCTTGACACCAATGACCATGCAAATGGCAACAATGAAAGCTTAACATGCTCGTTCACGTTTTCTTGCAGAGACGTTGGCAGTGTTTCTTTTTTTTCGGTTTCACTTGACGGAAGGAGGATATGGTGCAAAGAGGAGGAGGAAGCTTTTATTTCTGTTTTTATCTTGGTTTTATTTTTGTGTTTTCTACATTTTAAGTTATTGCATCAAAATTCTTGACCAATCGTAGTGTGATGTAGAGGCTTGGAGATACATTCGTCTTATGGTTTGTCCACTATTATTAGTTAAACTTTATATTTCACATTCTCTGTGAATATATGTTCATTTAACTGAAATAAGTGACAGTGCTTCTGATCTATAACTTTCTCCACTGCAATATCTGTTCACGTTAGACGTAAAAAGATGAAATCAAACTTATTACTCCTTAACCGCTGTTCATACACTATAATTAATACATTTAACCCAGATAAGTAAAACGTCAACAGATCCCATGTGCGATAATAAACATGAATTTTGTTCCTATGCATGCTTGAACAAGTCAGTAGTGAGAGAACGTGTATGAATATTATTTGTTGCAAATATTTGCAGTACTTAACATAGGAAAATATGATAGTTTGTGTGGCCTAATAATGACAATGAATTTCCAATAAATTTTGGAAAAAAAATTAATAAAATTTTGTGACGACGGTCCTAAAATTCATTATGGGACTTGGCCACATGTCGTTCTATTTAGCATTGGAGTAATGTAGCTAAACAAACTATTCAGCTGTGTGTGCTACAGAATTGAAATACAATGTAAAGCCACAACAAATAAGGTTTGGGAAGTAAAAACTTACTTTCTGTTCTGAATAGGAATATTTTTGGTACAAAGTATGAAGTTACCACGGTTGTATGCGATTTAAAAGTAAGGTTATAATGATCAGGAATTTGAGCAAAGGTGTAATGATTGAGAAACATACCAAATCAGTTATTTGATGGTGGCATATTTCAAATTTATGCGTACATCGGAACATATGGCGGTTATTGTAAAGTCATGCGTACTGATGAAATTCATTGGTATAGTGCCTACCCCGTGCTTATTTAATGGGTTAGCAGTAAACAGTGCGAAAACAACTTAGCGCAATCAGAATATTTAAATCACTCAACCCATATGTTCCGATGTACCGCCAACGTTTGTGTGTCTACCAAGTAGTGTTTGTGTGTGTGTGTGTGTGTGTGTGTGTGTGTGTGCGTGTGTATATATATATATATATATATATATATATATATATATATATATATATATATATACACACACACACACACATACATACACAAAAGTTGGCGGTACGCAAGTTGGTAATCATGCAAAAGTTGGTATATATACACATATGTGTGTGTGGTGTGTATACGTGCGTGTGTGTGTGGTGTGTGCGTAGGGGTGAGATGTGTTTACCACCGAGCGAAGCGCTCTTGTCTAACCCGGCGCGCGCCCTCTCGTGCTGTGCAGATGAGCGGCAAGCGCAGCCGCAGCTTCAAATGCGCCGTGCACCAGCGCGACCGCGAGGTGAGCAGCGAGAACGACTTCCACGTGCTGGCGCGGGAGCCGCCCGCCTTCCGCAAGATGGTGCGCCTCATCGCGGACGAGTTCCTCACGGAAGAGCGCGACCGCAAATACTACGCCGACCACTACTCGTGCTGCCCGCCGCCGCTCTTCGTCGTCTTCGTCACGCTGCTCGAGGTGAGTGCCCGGCTCCGAACGCCTTCAATGTGGGGGGGCGGCAGTTTTCAATAAATAAATAAATGAAAAAAATAAATGAAAAAATGAATAAAAATAAATGAAAAAAATGAATAAAAAATAAATGAATAAAAAATAAATGAATAAAAAATAAATGAATAAAAAATAAATGAATAAAAAAATAAATGAATAAATAAATAAATGAATAAAAAAATAAATGAATAAAAAAATATATGAATAAAAAAATAAATGAATAAAAAAATTAATGAATAAAAAAATAAATGAATAAAAAAATAAATGAATAAAAAAATAAATGAATAAAAAAATAAATGAAGAATTGAATGGATTTTGTTTAATTCTGCGGGTATTTGGATGGATGATTTCCGTGATTTCAGTCTACTGAGCGACGCTGCTTGAATGGAATTGCTTATAGGAAGGTTAATAATAATTGTAACATTAGTATAATTAGCGTTATCATGAATTGGTTTGAAATGGTGACTTATTTTACGTGGCGAGACTCGGGCCATCTCTGGCCGCTCTGCCGTCTGACCGCGCAAATTTCGCTAAGCTTTCGCTACAGAGAAAGATGGTGGGCGACGAAACAGGCGATTTTTTTCAATTTAGCTTAGAGGCGTCATTTAGGCTTGATCATTTACATGCTAGTAAAACTACTATAATTATGAATTGTGTGCATAAAAATATTCACATATTACAGATTATGCGGAATGACGCATGGTAAACGCAGCTCCTGCTGCGATACATGTCATTCGTTTTAAGGATTTTCTGAAAATATTTTTGCTTGAAAGTGTCGTGACAAGTTAAAGTGAATACTCGCTGGTTTTCTTTGGGGAGGGGGGGATTTCCATCATTTTCCTCCCTGTGGATCCTACATTACTTCAATTTATGTGTTATACTTTCGTAAGGTTATAGAGACGGTGTTTATTTGGAACTGCTGATTTGGAGTTTCCTCACAGATGTAGTTTTTCTAACAGTCGTATTAAAAAAAATCTCAAATCTCCATGAATTTGATATTAGTAAATTGGTACATAGTTTTTTGAAATATGTTCAGAAAATTTGCCCTGCGAGTGTGCAGACCTCACGACTAATCTAATTATTCTTATCAGAGTATGTATGGTTAAAAAGGAAAGCACAGTGAGAATTGCAACTTATATTAATCAAAATTATATTCAAGAACCCTGAAGACAGAAAATACGTTTCCAGAAACAAATGGCTGAAATCAGCATGCTTATTCCCTTTGTCTGACCTAGCTTTATCTTTCTTACATCTATTAGGGTGCACCAACTTGCCCGCGCATTGGGTGGGTCTTTTAGAAGAGGAAACTGCACTGGGAAACACTAACTCCATCGAACAAATTGAAACGGAAATAAAAAATAGCAACATCCGGAAAGCAGGACAATGAGACGGGGATTAGGACAAACGAAAGTAGTCAGTTGGTCGTTATAGATGATGAAAGGCCGTGATGACAAGTAATATACACAATATGTCCGTAAACATTCTTTGAAATTTTTTTTTGACATACTATAACACCTCGGAAACGATAAGGCCTAAATATTGATGGTATTACGAAACGGCGGTTAATTTTTCTCTCTGTTTCGAATCCGCTGAGGGGAGTAACGGAGGCTTTTTTGTGCTTTAGCTTAGTGGGTCATTGGGTGAAAATAGAACGCGCAGCGATAAAGTTCTGTGCGAAATCCGAACATTAGAGATGATGAAACGGACATACGGTGATGAATGCTGAGGGATCGCAACTGTTAAATGATGACCGAGGGCGGATGTGGACATTTTCAACGTCTCTTGGATCTCGTCGAAGACCTGTGTCTGCCATGCCAGATAATAGTAGAGGGTGGAACATTAATATAACACAATTTTCTTACTATTTCACGATATTCAGTTTCTGTCCAGCTCTCCGCAGATTCCACGGTGCTCGACAACGCTGTAGTCCTTGCACCGACGATTGACAGTTTCTAGCTAAATATCGAGCGACCACTCGCTCTCTCTCTCGATTTTCACCTTATATGTGCATGCCACTAGCGGACTTCTTTTTCCAAAGCTAACGACACTGAATGGACCACGATGTGGGTCAGTTTTTGAAATTCAAAATGCAGTGACAGAGCGCTTTTTACATTTAAAAGTGACCTCTAGGGCATTCCAAAACCTTCTGAAAAGACGTCGGTTGTGTATTGGTAGAGCAGGTTAAGATAAATTTTAAATAATAAATTAATATGTAAAATATTTTTTTTATTAACATCGTCCAGAACCTTTTTGAATTTCAGATGCTGCTATAGCCGATTACTTTTTCACTTATTATCATCCTGATTTTCCTGTTTTTATTCCCGTTCCCATTTCCATTTATCTGACGTGTTTCCCATTTCAATTTCTTTCCTTAGAAGACCCAAGCAACGCGTGTGCAAGTTGGTACACCGTTGTAGATATGATAAAGATAATGTTGGATCGGGCAACAAGAGTCGACAGGCTTATTTCAACCATTTATTTCTAAAAACGAATTTCCGATCATCTAGTTTCTGAACAGTATTATTTTAATTTAAGTTCCCATACCCCACAATTCTTTTCATTTTAATTGTTACATTTCTGCATTCGTATTGTTACATTTTGGCGTCTACTTTCCATGTGACAAATCCAATCTAAGCTCGTGCATTTTTTTTTACTTACGTGCATTCGAGATTCGTATAAAAACATCCTCCGTGACTCAAGCATATCAAAGAAAAGCATTACAATAAAATGCATTAAATTAACTGAAATAGTACTTCATAACCTCGCCCATGGAGCGCAGCACTAACAGGCCAGCTCTGAGTTGACATGACTTAATACTCCGTGAAGACGTCACTAAATTCTTAGAAAACGGCAGCATCTCCCAGAGGCTTTCTTGAAACGCGAATCATGACTAGTTGAAAGTGATTGCGGAGAAAACATTTCGTTTATTATCAAGGGTTTTTTTTATTCGTCGTGCATTATTGACGATCAGTGCGATTGCAATCGGTGCATTATTGAGGATCATGCTCTACGTAGGGTACATACCGCTGTAAAGCGAGAAACTAGGCGACGAAATTGGCGGGTTTTATTCTCCATGCAAAAATTCAAGAGAGAAAACAAAAACGTGCAGAAGTAAACAACAAACAGATGTTCTTAAAGTATTTAGTGTTTGTAACAAGATTCTACGCTTGTTACAAATGTTGGTTGGTTGTTTTCTGGATCTGCAGTTTCTGCTCTTCTCAGTTGGGGTGAGTGACGCTGAACGCATGGCAAGTTTTGTAGTATGTGCAGCGAACTTAATTCCAGGAAGCCAGATCGTTTATCGCTAAAGAGGATACATTGCTTAAACACGCGGCCACCTCCGAAAGATCTTAATGCTCCCCCAAAACTGAAAGAAAACAATTTCGAAGCTTAAACAACCATAATGTTCTCATTTTAAGAAAGAGATTGGTCGTTATTCTCCAATTTACTTAGAGTGACTTTTGAAATCCGATCAGCTGAGACGCGGTTATCCAATCGGGAGCTTCGTTACGATTGTGTTTGGTATTGAAGCTTCCTATTGGATAACCGCGTCTCATAAGTCCCTCTAATTAAATCTGAGCTTAATTGCAGAGCACCGTTTCTTTCTCTCGGAGTGCGGAAGGCGCGCGCGGTTGCTCAGAGAACAGGATCCGCTGTGGGAAAGGAAGCGGCGAATGGAACATACGTGGGGCGAACGGGAGTGGAAATGGGAACAGCAGAAAACGCCGGAAACAAGAAAAGGCGAAGGAGCAAGGTGAGGCAAAGAACTGTTCGCATTTTATGGAGCCTAGATCGTAATGCGTAGTTAGCGTTTCCGTTGCCTGCCCTCATAGTCGCGAATCACGTAATTCGATGCTAGTACGACGACAGTGTGACTGGGAAGGATAACGGTAAACGTAATAACAAAGGGAAATTAAGCGGCAACTGGTCGTAGATAAGGGCGAGCATTGAAATGTGAAAGAAGGAATGGGCTCGTAACGGAATTTAGGAACTTGTTTTAAAATTATTAAAATGTTCAAATCTGATTGCTTACTTGATCAAGAAAGTTATTTCTAAATGTCTCTTTACTGATACAAATATCGACGGAATGCATTTATTGTCGGCATTACGCAGAATTTGTACATGTTAAATTTTATCTTGCAAGACAACTTCGAACTATATCCCCGTTCATCAAATTTCACATTAATCATTCGGAATACGCAAAATTTCCTAAAATTAATCTTAATATGGGTTGTTTTGCATTGCATTAATTGCGGTGGAGCGTGTAATAATTCGGTGGGTATTTTGAAACGTACTTTTAGAACGTGCACTTGAAAGTGATAAATAACGATGAAAATTTGTGTAAGAGTGGGACAATGAAAATTTATAACGAATCAGTCACCAGAGTTGGCACAACCAGATTTCAATTGTACAATGTGTTGCATAATATTCTCAATAACTCTGTAAGAAAGCCAAAAATCTGAATGATGTAGTATTCACGTAGTATTGAGTGACGTAGTATTGTTTATTTTGAGTCGTTAGAAAATCGTTGAACTGTGCATTTTACTTACATTCTTTTTACGTTTTGTTTTACGGTTGAATAATTCCAACGAGATTTATGCGAAACCATAATGCAGCGCCGCCTTTATAACGAAGTTTATTCCTAATTGACTTGACAGACCTGTCGCCATTTTCTCATGCTTTGCTGAAGCCATTTCATATTCCATTGAGCATGACGGAGTACCCAGGTATGAGGATTTTGGTGAAGTTGGGGTTTAAAAGAGAATTCTGTGAGCGATTTCAGGATTTTCTCCTTGGGTTGGCTTATGCTTCGTTACTTCTTAAAGCTTATTCCATTCTTTCAAATTTCGTGGGGTTTACACACTTCATTGATCGCTTTAGCCGTTTTTCTTACGGCCCATTGATAGACTAGTGGCAGTAAATCTGTCTTTGTAAGTAAATCATTTTAAACCTTTCTGCTGGATTTTGAA